CATTATGCATAGACGGTCATATGGTTACAGGTTCTTCAACTTAAGTAGCGTAGGTCCCTTTTTTCTGTATTGTGAATGCAATTTGCATTGTCCTCATTCGCTGGCCGCTCAGAGTTGGTAAACAACTTTTAGTTTAAGTAATTAGGTATCAACCATATGTGTGTATATCTAAGTTTACGTTAAACATTATGGAATATTTTTATTAGTGGTGTTTCATTATTTTATATTTTTGTTTTATAACATAGGTGCATAAGAACAACTTTTGTTGCATTTTATATTTAATTTTTCTGATAGTTTTATGACCAAAGTGATTTAATACCTATCTCATTTTTTTATTCTTTTTTTATTAATCTCGTTTTGTAAACAGTCTACAAGCAGGTGTAGTAGCAATCTAAATCATTATCTAAATTACAATACAGCGTAAACATAATATATTAAAGATATTTATTTTTATTTACTTCAATAAGTTATATATTTATTTCTATAAGTTATTTATATGTTAATTTATTTTCATATTATATTATATACTGATTTTTAGGACATGGCAGTTTCCGATAACGATTCATTCACCTCTGCTAATTCTGATTCCTTTTATTCATTTTCTGACTCTGAATTTGAATTACCTACACTTCGTTCTCTCCTAACCCAAAAATTCGATAATTATAATAAAAATGTCAACGTTTGTCTCATTAATGCTCAGCGTATTCCGCAGCATTACAATGATCTTTTAGAAACTTTTAATAATCAAAGCATCCACGCGATAATTATCTCGGAAACCTGGTTAAACCCAACTTTGCCTTCTATTTCTCACGGATTTCCAGGCTTTATTTTACTTCGTAACGATTGCATTGATAAAAGAGGTGGTGGTTTAGCAGTATATCTGCGAAGTGGTATTCCTTACAAAATTTTATCAGCCTCACCTTCACAATGTACTGGATCACTTGAATATATTTTTTTAGAGATTGTTATTAGTGGAAAGAAGGTTATGTTTGGTGCAATTTATTGTCCACCTAATTCCAGTTATTTATGTGAATTTGAAGAGGCACTTCTTTCAGTTTACTCTGATTATCAACATAATATTTTAATTGGTGACTTTAACACAAATCTTCTAAGTGATACCCGTAGATCGCGTGGACTGCGTTCAATTATTGAATCCGCAAATTTTTCAATACTTCGACTTGACACCACCCATCACAATCTTACTACTGAGTGTACTTTGTTAGATCTGATATTAGTCTCCTCAGAAGAACGTGTTACGTGCCACGGACAGTTCCCTGCTCCTGGTTTCTCGAGACATGATTTACTGTTCATTTCCTATAAAATCAAACCTCCCAAAGTAAAGCCAGTAATAGTGAGTCTGCGTAATTTTGCTAGGCTAAATGTAGGAACGCTCCAGCATAATAATTCGCTTTTAGACTGGAGCGATACATTTAATGCAGAGAGTATTGATGACAAAATTACGACATTTAACTCTAATATTCATAACCTATTTGACAAACACGCACCTATTCGTGAGGTTAGGTTAAAGCGCACGCCTGCGCCATGGATTACTGAAACTATCCGTAAGGCCATGTCTAAGCGCGATCAGATGTTTAGAAAATTCAAGCAGAACCGTTGTGAACTCAATTGGACAAAATTCAAAGCTGCGAGAAATCGATTTTATCAGATGGTACGAGCTGCTAAACGCCGCTATATTCACCATAATATCATGAACTCTTCTATGGCTGATCGGGGTCGGTAAACCTACGTGTAACGTGGACCCTGCAATCATTTCTTTAAGTGATCTAAACTTACATTTTTCTTCAACTACCCAAATGGAGGCTTCTGTTAAATCAAGTACTATTTCTTATTTGAATTCCATGCCACAATCTCGTAACTGCACATTTAATTTTTCTCCCGTTGCTGATGAGGATATAAAAACGATCATCTATTGTATTAAGTCTATAGCAGTTGGTTTCGATGATGTGAATAGACCCATGATCACCTTAATTCTAGACAATGTTAGGTACTCCTGTTATTACTTACATCATTAATCATTCACTATTGATTTGGGATTTTCCTACACTTTGGAAAAAAGCATTTGTTATTTCAATGCTCAAAATTAATAACCCCAGTACTTTCTCTCACTTTCGCCCAATATCTATTCTCCCTTTTTATTTAAAGTTCTTGCAGCTATTGTCCACAAACAAATTTCTTGTTAGATTTTCAAAAATAATTTTCTTAGCACATTTCAATCTGGTTTTAGGCCACGTTACAACCACAGCTCTTTTGAAAGTTACAGAAGGTAATGGAATGGAGAACTCAAAATTGACTGTGTTAGTCCTAATAGATTTCTCTAACGCTTTTAACGCTGTCGATCATGATATTTTCCTAGCTGTACTTTGTCACCTGGGTTTCTCTTCGTCGGTGCGGGACTAGTTCTCCTCGTATCTTCGGGGTCGTCAGCAGGCTATTCGAGTAGGTCAGATCGTCTCTGATTAGTGCTCGTTGTCTGCTGGTGTTCCTCAAGGGGGAATTCTCTCTCCTCTCCTGTTCTCAGTCTTTATAAATCTCATTACATCCGACATTTGCTTGTCGTACCATCTGTATGCTGATGACTTACAAATTTATGTTCAAACTGAGTTGGCAGGTATCGATGATGTGATTAAGAAGCTTAACTGCGACCTTAACTGTATTTATTATTGGTCAGACAGATTTGGTATTAGGGTTAATCCATCAAAGTTTTAGGCTATTGTGGTTGGTAGTTCTCGTAGATTGCCTGAAATTGACATGAAGGCGCTACCTCCTATAATTTTTAATAATGTTACTATTCCTTACTCAACAACTGTTAAAGATCTTGGCTTAGTTATTGACAACACCCTCAGTTGCCGACTGCATATATATGAAGTGAGCAAAAAGGTCACTCACACTCTGCGTTATCTGTATCGTTTCAAAACATTTTTACCGATAGAGACTAAGGCGATGCTAATACAGACTCTAGTGTTGCCTATTTTAGATTATGTAGATGTTTGCTATGCTGATGCCTCATAAGAACTTCGAAACAGACTGGATCGACTTCTTAATAATTGTATACGCTTCATTTTCGGTTTACGTAAATACGACCACATCTTCTCTATGTTACGAACGATAACTGTTCCCTTTTCCTGTTTTTATTTCAAATATTTTATAGGTGTTTGAATCAGAAACAGCTATATTTAATTATGTATGTACTATATATATAGCATATTAGGCCAGCATTAAGCATATATATCTCTATATTTATATATCTTGTATGTATATCTATAAAATAATAGATGTGTATAATTGTGTTTATAACATATAATGCAATATGTTATGTATATGACTACTTAAAGATATTTTAACTCAGTTGCACTTTGCACCCACAATATCTTCCCTGCTTAGCCTGGAGGTAGACTGGCAGAGAATGCCTTTTGCATTAAATCCGCCTTTTAGTACTCGGTGTGCAAATAAAGCATAAATAAATAAATAAATTCAGTTTCATACCATCAATTATTAAGTGGTTCTTTGTTTGATCAAGCATATATCTACAAGTAGCATTTTGTAATTTGAAGTACTTCATTAAAACTAATTGAGGTGGAAGACTGTCACACTTACCCATCAATGAGGCAAGTGTGACAGTACGCTTCTTTTTGTAAAGTCATCATCCTTGTTTAACAAAAACAAAACACATTGGGGTTTTCTTTTATTTTGGTCTACATAATGTTTATAATACAATACTTTTAACCGAACATTCTATTCAATATTCTGTACGCCCAACATAGTATTGCCATTTTTTCTTCTCGTAATATCGCACTATTACAGTATTATTTTATTCTAAAAGCAAATTGGACTTGTATATTTCTTCTATATCTGTATCGATAGCATTTATTATTTTTGCTTCCTCCTTTTTTATTATTTTTCCATCCTCTGACATTTTTCTTTGACATGTATTTATTCCTTTTTATTAATTTAAATACATATAAATAGCATTCTCCTTTTTTGAAAGTCTGTTAAAAATGATAGGCTGTCCCATCACTATAATTACGATATTATAAGTAGTTTATAGTTACGCTATTCTCATATAAGAAGATCGGGTTAAGCGTGGCGCTGTCACACTTACCCCGATTATGTTATTATATTTACCTATAGAGTTTTGGCGGAAACCTGGCCGACGACGGACTGTCGCTCCTGTTTTGTCGCTTGAATAATGGTTTGAAGTGGATTTTAATTTGTAAAAGTGATGTGATTTTGTGAAGAAATTATCTGCGCGTGTGAAATATTAGAGAAAACGACGAAACAAGTGCATTGATGTTAATGTAAACCTCAAGTGAATTTGATCGCTTGGGCGCCTCATGAACTTGAGTGGCTGTCGTCATCAACTGTCCGCTGGGTTGACCTGTCGTCGAAATTTCCCAAAAACTTCGCAATGTGACGCATCAGCATATTGTGAAGAAAAAAATATAAAAAATGAAGATTCTGAAAGAAATGATAGGCTCAGAAGGGCTAGTACCTAGAGCCGTAAAATAAAAATAAATATTATATTAGTATATTATATTATATTACTTAGGTATTAGGTGAGGTAAGTGTAACTGTATCCGTTTTGGGAGGACTAGTGGATTTCAGGTGATAGAAACATATTACTCTACGAGCACTAATATTATTCTTTATCACTCACCTTATATCTGATTTAAAATAACTTAATAACATGTCGAAACACTTAATAACCTCACCTCTTAAAATTGCGCGGTCTGTCGCAAGTTGAGTAGTTTTAAAAAATAACGTCTGCTGATAAAATAGTCGAAGTAACTGTCAGTATAGTCAATAGCGTATTTCCTGCGTTGTTTAATAGATGGAATTTAACCAAATACCGTGTTTAGGCTGTATAGTTTGCATTAATTGTTACACTTACCCCACTGTCACACTTGCCTCGGATGACCATATACAAAATTAAAAAGGATATTACCTGTTTCTAAACTAAATTATAAAATTTAAATTGGCAGGCTAACTCGATCATACCGCCTCCGTACTCTTGCGCGAGCAACTACGAGGAGTGTGGCGCTGGGTGCGGCGCGGGGTGTGCGGGGTGTGCGGGGTGCGCGCGGGCGGAGGTGCGCAGCACAACGCGCCGCGAGCTCTCTGCCGCTTTCCGCAAGAACCTCATCGCTTCACCCGTGGAGCCGCTAGTGAGCATCGCCACGAACAATAATTCATAACGCACTGAACATTCATTATAAAACTACACTTTTGATAAAAATACTCAAACCAACAAAGACGATGTAAAAACCTTTGCAGTAATATATACTACTTAATAGACAACGTGAACAAAATCTGTGCGGTGGTGTACAAAGTATATTTAATAAGAAAAGTATCTATGGAATTTATCGCGCTTAATTACTTTAGTTTATTTTTACTATCCCGACGTTTCGGGTGCATTACAGCACCTACGGTCACGGAGGGGACAGAGGTGTTTGACGTCTTAATTGTCATAGTTAGTCAGGCTACCTTCAGTTTTTGAATATTAATTTTTTTGGTCCGATTTACGCAAAACGAGCTTATAGTATTGTTTAGAGGTTAGAGTTCGTGACAATAAAAACTGCCGATTGAATTACCAAAATTAACACTTTAGTTCACTTTACACTAATTAAAACTTAAAAGACACTAATAATTAATCACACTGATTCACTTTATTTCGCTCCGAAGCTTCGCTTGTCTCGCCAAATTCAATACTGCCCCGATCGCGTATTGCAGCGCCTTTAAATACACCTTTTTCACCGAAATATCCAGAATATTCAAGTAAATACGCGCGACAACCGATCAGACGCCGAAAGTTCGAGTGTGAGGCTTCTAGAAATCTTAGTTCTTCAATTCGATACTAGATGGCGCTGTTGGTTGAAAGATTAGTCATGTCATTTTCTGGAAAGCTCTCCTCGCTCTGTTACCCGACACTAGATGGCGCTAGTGCCAGACGTCAACTTAGGCGCGCAACACTGCCCCCTCCTAAGACATGCTTGTCCCGAGCATTTCGGCCCCATAATAACGCGCCAGGCGATCCACATGGATGATCTTAGGAGTCCCTCTTGCGCCTTTCTGTATCCGGTACGTTACATCGTTGATCCTGGTCACAATCCGGTACAGGCCGTCCCATTTAGCTTGAAGCTTAGGAGATTTCCCTTTGCTGCGGACTGGATTGTGCAACCACACTAGTGAACCTTCGTCGAACCCTTTGTTGTTAATTTTGCGGTCATACCGGGTTTTCATCTTTTCGGACATTTGCTGACCCGATTGTCTGACGTGCTCATAAACGTCATTCATTTTGTTGCGCAAGTCATTTGCATAATCGGTTATACTGCGTGGGGCATCAGGTGGTATCCCGGTGATCAGGTCTGCAGGCAGCCGTAATTCTCTTCCAAAGTTTGCGAAAGCTGGTGTCACTGATGTACTTTCGTGAACAGCGCTTCGATATTACAACAAAAACGGTTGTATGTGCTTGTCTCAATCTCGTTGCTGATTGTCTACAACTTTTGCTAGGTACCTCTCCAGTGTTTGATTAAATCGTTCTACCATTCCATCAGATTGCGGGTGATAAGAAGTCGTTCTTGTTTTATGAGTACCCATAACTCGGCAAGTTTCCTGCAATATTTGAGACTCAAAATTCCTTCCTTGATCGCTGTGAATCTCTAAAGGTACTCCAAAACGACAGAAGACTTCATGAACTAGTTTATCTGCAACTGTTGAAGCTTCTTGATTTGGAATGGCGAAGACTTCTGGCCACTTAGTGAAGTAATCCATCACAACCATTAAATACTCGTTACCGCTTTCACTCTCCGGAAACGGCCTCGCCACGTCAATGGCTATTCTCTCCCACGGTGCACCAACATTGTACAACTTCAATGCACCTCTACTACGAGTCTGAGGTCCCTTTACAGCGGCACAACTTATACATTTGCGACACCAGTCCTCGACATCGTTTCGACAGTAGACCCAGTAAATCCGTTCTCGGATCTTCAGTAGAGTTCGCTTAACTCCCAGATGGCCTCCTGAACAATCATTATGGTACAGCTGTAGAACATCCGGTACTTTAGCTTTAGGGACAACCATTTGCAAATGACATCTGTCTCCCCGAACATTTTCCCATTTACGGCATAGAACTCCATCCTGAAGCAGCAAGCTTTTAGTAGTCGAACTCATCGCTAAGAAGTCGCTCCACTTGGGCTTGGGAGCACTGGCCTTCATCCATTGTAGAATCGGCTTGATGTGCGGATCTTCCTGCTGTGCACGTTGTAAGCTGTCCTTCCACTCGTTGCTGAGGTGGTCTGTCCTGAGCATCCTCACGGATACCACTTCCTTACTTTCTTGCCTAGTACAATGTGTGCAATCTTCAGGACAAGGTCTTCTTGACAATGCATCTGCGTTGCCATGAGATTTCCCGCTGCGATTTTCGATCTCAAAATCGTATTCCTGCGGTAGTTCAATCCACCTCGCAACTTGTCCTTCTGGATTTTTAAACTGCAATAGCCATTTTAGTGCAGCATGGTCCGTTCGTAAGTAAAATTTCCGCCCCAGAAAATATTTGCTAAAATGCTGCAACGACTTTACCACAGCTAGCAATTAGCATCTTGTGACACAATAGTTCCTTTCCGGTTCTGACAACGACTTGCTGAAGTACGCTATCACGACCTCTTGGCCACCATTCCGTTGCGACAACACACCGCCAAGTCCTATATCACTTGCGTCTGTGTCAACTATAAATTATTTGCTTGCATGAGGGTATCCCGAAATAGGTGTTTTGCACAGACAGTCCTTGAGCTCCTGGAATTTCATCCCAGCAGAAATGTCGTTTCTCCTCGGTTAGCTTGTGCAGAGGTTTGGCTATATCCGCAATGTTCTTCACAAATCGCCGATAATAGGAGTACAAACCCAAAAATGCTCTAACCTGCATCTTGTCTTTTGGAACCGGCCAATCCTTGACAGCGGCGATATTCTCCGGATCCGTGCGGATACCTTCTTCCGACACTACATACCCCAAAAAGTTGACTTGCCATTTGAATAGTGAACATTTCTTCGGACTCAACTTGAGGTTGACACTCTGAATCTTCATGAGCACGCGTTCCAGGTTTTGAAGGTGTTCCTCAAACTTACGGCCCACGATGATGATGTCATCGAAGTAGACCAGACAGGCATTGCCAATTAGCCCGGTAAGTACAAGCTCCATCAGCCTTTCAAACGTTGCTGTAGCAATGCACAATACAAACGGCATCACTTTAAATTGCCACAGACCCTTTCCCGTCGAGAACGCAGTTTTCTCCTTGTCCTCTGTCTCCTGGTCAATTTCAACTTGCCAGTAGCCACTTTTTAGATTCAGGGTGCTAAACCACTTTACTCGTGTAAGCATGTCCAGCGTGTCATCAATTCTTGGCAAGGGATAGCTGTCCTTTGTAACGTCGATCAGACGGCGTTAGTCAACACAGAACCGCATGCTGCCATCCTTCTTCTTTACCAGCACCACGGGTGAACACCATGGACTAGATGAAGGTTCAATAATACCATCCATCACCATTCAATCATGGTTTCCACTTCCTTTTCACGTGCTACTGGCAATCTTCTTGGCCGCTGACGGATAGGCAATTCTTCTCCTGTGTTTATTTTGTGTTAAACCAAGCCAGTCTTTCCTATGTCAGCATCGTTTGATGAGAATACATTGGCATATTTGAGTAACAACTTCTTCGCCTTGACCATTTCGTTCGGGGAGAGAACGCTGCGACAGTCTTTCAAAAGTGTGGTCACTCTCGTTTGTGCATCCTTGCTGGGGGTAGATATTGGTACCGACGTAACCAATCCACTTCCTCACAAGTAACAACCAGTATGCCTTTTTCTATAATCTGTTCCTGGTCACAAAGGTTCAGCACACGTACTCCTGAGATGTCAGTGGTTCTGACCAAGGTTCGAGCTACTTTCCATGGAAGGTCATTGCTTACCCTTTCCACAAGTACACAACGGTGAGCTTGCCCAGCATTTCGAGGAAGACTAACCAGCACAATCGTTTCCGATATCGGCGGAAGAATAATCTTCTTAATGCTGTAAACGTTCCCTGGCAACGCACCTTCCATAAAAAGTTCATCCTGTCCACATTTCAAAACACCTTGCTTAACGTCGATCTCACAACAATTATTCCTCATAAAGTCTAGGCCCAGAATGCAGTCGTCCATTATATCAGTTACGATGACATTATGCAGGTAGATCACGTTGCCTAGCTTCAACTCCATCTCCTTCTCTCCACGGACGGGTATACGCTGACCGGTGGCTGTTACCAAATTGATGCGTTCTCGGTTGTATGCGGAGTCCACAAGGAACTGACTTATAAGTTGGGAACTTACAACCGTACGAGAGGCTCCAGTGTCTATGGTCAGTTTACACGGCATTCCGTTGACCTCGCCCTTGATGATTAGACTGTTCCCATCATGGGTTTGTGAGATCAAAATCCTTGGGGCTCTATTAACATCAGCCAGCACCCGCCCCGCAGTTCTGGCTTTTACTCGTTTTCTTGCTGCTGCTGGGTGGTGCTGTTGGCCGCACTACCCTCCTGAGATCGTTCACCTTCTCTTTCTAGGGTTCGCTTAGGGCAGCTGGTTTGCAGATGGCCCCTTTACCCACAGCCGTAGCACCTAGGACTGTATCCTTTATTGTGGTCGCGAACTGTAGCTGCTGCAATCTCCCTGACGCGATGAGAATAAAGATCCTGCCGCACGGTTTCCACCTCCATGGGCCAAGGCATCTTTAAGCGTTTTGTGGTGCCCGAGCCCCACAGCAGCTCTGACTTCAAGGTTGCGGATGCCGTCGATGAATGTCTGCACCAGGTTCCCTTCAATGAGCGCAGGTACATACCGGTATGTATTTCGCACCAGCTTCTCCACCGCTAGAGCCCACTGCTGCAGGTTTTCATTGATGCGCTGCACGCGATTTTTAAGCTGCGCAAGAAAGACGTGTTCCAGGTGAGCGTCGCCATATCTCGCCTCCAATGCCTCAAGGAGCTGCTCATAGGTCATTTTCTTACCCAGAGCTTTCAACACAGTTAAGGCTTGGTCGCGCAGGCCTAGGGTGAGTGCAGTCATGGCCTGCCTTTTATTCCAGCCTATTACCTCCATGACGGCCTCGAACTGGATTTTGTAGGCCGACCAGAAAGAAG